GATTCTCCTGCCTCAGCATCCCAGGTAGATGGAGTTACAGGTGCTAGCCACCATGCCCAGCTAATTTTTGCATTTTTAATAGAGACGGGGTTTCACCATGTTGGCCAGGCTGGTCTAAAACTCCTGACCTCAGGTGATCTGCTTATTTCAGCCTCCCAAATTGCTGGAATTATAGACATGAACCACTGTTCCAGCCAAGGAAAAACATTTTTTAAAACTCTAAATATAACCTTAAAAGATTATTCAAAACCATTGCAGTGAAAAATACGTATTTGAAAACTGCTCTGATAATCCTTTAAATATTTGCTCCTTTAATCTCAGTAGCCAAAAATCTGACTTGCTGTACTTGAGTCACTATTTTTCAACTTAATTTTGTTTTATTATTATTATATTATTATTGTCATTATTATTATTTGAGACAGAGTTTCATCTTGTTGCCCAGGATGGAGTGCAATGTCGCGATCTTAGCTCACTGCAACCTCTGCCTCTCAGGTTCAAGCGATTCTCCTGCCTCAGCTTCCCAAGTAGCTGGGATTACAGGCATGTGTCAGCGCGCCCAGCTAATTTTGTATTTTTAGTAGAGACAGGGTTTCTCCACGTTGGTAAGGTTGGTCTTGACCTCCCTACCCCAGGTGATCCACCTGCCTCGGCCTCCCAAAGTGCTGGGATTACAGGCGTGAGCTACTACGCCTGGCCTCAACTTAATTTTCTTATCACCTTATGTGAAAAGCTATACATCAAATGTTCTAATGGAGAATATCCTTTTTCTCTAATAACTCCAAGCATTTTAAAACACATACTTAAAATTCATGATTATTTAACTAGTAGTTTTTGCCCGTTTTTTTGTTTTTTTGTTTTTTTTTTTTTGGTTCTTTAGGTTCTGGGGTACATGTGCAGATCATACAGGATTGTTGCATAGGTACATACATGGCAAGGTGGTTTGCTGCCTCCATCCCCCGTCACCTATATCTGTCATTTCTCCCCATGTTATCCCTCCCCAACCTCCCCAACCCCGTTGTCCCTCCCTTAGCCCCCACAACAGACCCCAGTGTGTGATGCTCCCCTCCCTGAGTCCATGTGTTCTCATTGTTCAACACCTGCCTGAGTGAGAACATGTGGTGTCTGGTTTTCTGTTCTTGTGTCAGTTTGCTGAGAATGCCCAGTTTTTTTTCTAACTGTAACTGATGTCCCCTTACCATCAATTCAAGGACTGTGGCAATCAGAGACTAGATAGGTTCTACTAATGGATGTATAAAGAGACCCAAAATCAAAGAAATAATTCCCTGACTTCAACTCAGATTTTAATAATTATTATTTTCCTTATTAATTTCCTTATTATCCTAAAGATACAGGTTACATCCCTCCCTATACAACTTTTCAATGCAAACTACACAATCAAAAAAGTCTGATCTCCAGGAGAACACTAATCATATGCTATTTTATAACATGAATGTAATTTTTTCACAGGGAACATTTTTTTTTATATTTGCACTTTAAGATTTTTTTTTTACATGAAGTTCCGGGATACATGTGCAGAACGTGCAGGTTTGTTACACAGGTATACATGTTCCATGGTGGTTTGCTGGACCTATGGAACAGTTTTTTAAACAAGAATATTAAATTTTTAATACAGAGTTAAGGCCTCAGCCTTATATTTCACATCTAAACTCTGAGTAGAAATGTAAGGCTTAGCTTTCTCAGTGGAATACCACCACCATCCCAGCAGATTTTTTACAAGTTAATTTAAACACGATCTTTTTAGAGGAAAACAGTATTTATTGTATACGAGTTATACTTGTTAATCAAAGGCACAAACCAAAACCAAGACTTAAAGTTGACCATAATATTGACAATTAAGTCATATAAACCAGGTACCAGCTAAATTTAATGAAGATAAGTTCCACTAAATTCCTAAGGAAAATACAGTAATTCCGACACCACTGAATAATTAGAAACTTTCAAACAAGAGGGAAAATATGAACATCATAATACATGTCCCAATTGGGAGGTGAAGAAATGTAAATTGTGTGCTGAAACCTGATGTATCACAGAACATCAATAGTCCCTTCCAGTCTTGGATGCCTTAGACCCAAGGCCTGAGACTGTTATCACCATCTGGCAACCCTAATGAGGGATGCCATCTAATGACTGACTGAAATTAAATTACACAATGCAACTCTCTGCCTGTCAGCAGAACAGCAAGTGATAAAACATTTTAACTTCTTGGTGCAAATTATACAATCAAACCAGATAACCTTGACTGGGAAGGAGCCAGTTCAGAGAGGTCAATTTTCTATCACACTACATCAATAGCAAAGTCAGAGGAATCAATTTTCCATCTTGTAACACTACATCAAAATAGCAAATTCACAGTGCCTTCCAAAGGTGCCCCAACTAAGAAAAATAACAGTCAAGAGTAACACAGTATTCATTCACAATTTACTAGCTCTTCCAGTGTTTCAGAAGGATACAGGGTTTCAATGATCTAACATGAACGGGACAGAAGGTGGATTTACAACACAGCGGACACGCATCTTGATTGAATCAGCCTATTGGTGTAGTTTCTTGTTCTACATACATCTTGATTGAATCAGTCTACTGGTGTACTTTTTCGGTCTATCAGTAAGTAGTGTTGTCAGTTCTCCAGCCAGGCAATTTTCCAATTCACAGGGGGAACTCTAAATGTCCTAAAATTAAAGAAAAAAAGTTAATTTACTTGTTACACAAATTTCAACATCTGTATTTGCTTGCATACATTCTAATCTATTCCTGCTAATGAAGACCTTCCTATGTGTTCCCAGTCAGTGGCTCAATTAAAATGCAAAGTGTGCCCTAGGGATCAATTCAGCCAACAACAATTCTCACAATATTTTACCACTTAAATACTAAAGCCATTGAAACACCCGTCTTCCCAAAATCTGGTTCCTATTAGACCAGATGAGTTTATGGCTTTAATGATAGCCCACCAAAAACAGTTTTTACCAAGAAAGCAACGCTCTCAACGACTGACTAAAACTGTGGTAAATGAAAACTAGGTAAAGGACTATGGAAAATGTCAATATTGGTGAGGAACAGAGTGCACCTGCCACGGAAACTCACAAATAAGGTCATTATTGGGATTCTTTGTTTCCCCTCTCTGTAGGCTGAAATATGTTAGAAAAGGGACCACTTACTATCTTTAGGCTGACATGTGTATGTAAATATATAAACTCACACAGGAACTCTTCTGTTGCATAACTTTAGAGAGTATGCACAGATAAGCTATAGCTAAGTCAGTACTTTCTGACCATGCCTGGTGTATAGAGACCTAATCTGCCTACATAGGGCTTACATAGCACCAGCTAGATTTAAATATACTAAAGACATTCTTGACAAACTTAGTTCATGTATCACATACACAGGCTGGAGTAGACATCAACACTAACAGAGCTGAGGACCAAAATGAACGTACGTTAAAGGTGGAGAGGAATAGCCCCACAGATCAACTGGGTTACACTATCTCATACTGGTTATTTGTTATGGCACGAGAGAGGCAGTAGGCGAGAAAGATTCCAATCAGCTAGAAATAAAATAGAAACAAAATTAAATACTACACAAAAGAGCTTGAAGACCTCAGACTATATTCTCCTCTCACTTGTAATTCGCTTATAATTTTCTTCCTTGAGTTCTTCTAGACAGTTATGTTTAATACTCTGCAGCATCTAGATCACATTCAAAGAATGTAAGTGAAGTTTTATTGCTACTACGACCCAGAATTTCACAACTCTCACCAAAGGAAAATCCAGCAAACTGTCACTCAAGGAAAATTCAGTCGCAAATTTTGGAGAAACTTTTCTTACTCTCAGTTCCCAGAAAAAACAAAGACATGGTTTTGAATAAGTATCCTAACAAGTTAAATCTCCATCAAGGAGGGCAGAGATTTTCCTGGAAAGATCCAGAGCAGTGCTACAATAATGAAAATATTCTAGAACCCCTGTACTATATGACATAGTAGGCAGCAGCCACATGGCTACTATTTCAAACCTCCAGCGAACTGAGGTTTTAATTTTATTTAATGATTATAACCATTCAAAGGTGGCTAGTGGCTACTGCATTAGCGTAGATTTAGATATAGCTATGCTTGCTACTTTAAAAATATATTAAGACTAAACTTGAATTAGTCTTATTTCTAGTGTTTAATATAAACAAAAAATCCCCTGAAAAAAAAATCGTTCAGAGCCACAAAACAAATGTCATGCTACAGTGAGAAACACAATTTGCAAAACACAATTTGACCTACTACATGGAATCTACCCAAAACAACTGGTGCACAATGAATCTCCCAATCACAAATCAAAATCAGTATTAATATATAAAATAAGTCCAATCAAAACTCCACTATAAGAAAAATGAAGTATTTTCTCCTTTTTTGAGATGGAGTTTCACTCTTGTTGCCCAGGCTGGAGTGCAATGGCACAATCTTGGCTCACTGCAACCTCCAACTCCCAGGTTCAAGTGATTCTCGTCCCTCAGCCTCTCGAGAAGCTGGGATTGCAGGCGCCCACCACCACACTCAGCTAATTTCATATTTTTAGTAGAGACAGTATTTTTACTATGTTAGTCAGGCTGGTCTCAAACTCCTGACCCCAGGTGATCTGCCTACCTTCGTCTCCCACAGTGCTGGGATTACAGGTGTGCCACACCATGACCAGCCCAAATATTTTTGTACTGTGACCAATAACTAAGAGTTTTCTGAAAATGCGACTTCTCTAAAAATGTCCTCACTATCCAGTCCCCTGAAGCAAAAACTTTAAGCCTTAAAAGTGAAAATCTTGCCAGGCGCAGTGGATCCTGCCTGTAATCCTAGCACTTTGGGAGGCTGAGGCGGGCGGGTCACTTGAGGTCAGGTGTTCGAGACCAGCCTGGCCAACATGGTCAAACCCCATCTCTATTAAAAATACAAAAAAAATTAGCCAGGCATGGCGGAGCATGCCTGTAACCCTAGCTACACAGGAAGCTGAGGTGGGAGGACTGCTTGAACCTGGGAGGTGGAGGTTGCAGTGAGCCTATATTGCGTCACTGCATTCCAGCCTGGGTGACAGAGTGAGACTCCATCTCAAAAAAAAAGTGAAAATCTTCTAGCTCACACCTACAAGAGGGATGAAATATTTCTTAAGTAACTACAAACACTTACCTGAAAGCAAGCAACTCCAAACGAAATTCCTGCAACGACTCCCATTTCTGACTCTATAATGGTCATCACCTTTATAAAACAACCCTAATAGGAGGAAAAAAACAAAGATTAAGTACAGCACAAGCAGAATGTACTTTTCTTTACGGTAATAAGCACTTTGATCATACACCTCTGCAGAAAGATGTATGTATCATAGCCTTTGGTTGTCATTTTATTGAAATCTACTCTCTTCCGTATGTTCTCAAAAGAACAAATAATTATTCCCAACTATTTCCACCTTTTGGATCATACATTTAAAAGTGTTACTTTACTGGAACCAAGGAGTTCAAGGCTGCAGTGAGCTATAATCACACTACTGCACTCCAGACTGCGTGACAGAGACAGACACTGTCTTAAAAAAAAATACTAAATTATAAATAAACAAAAAGTGTTACTTGCTAGCTGTCTGAACTCAAGTCTTACCCACCCTATTTCGGCTTACATTTATTAATATAAGGAAAAATTAAAAACTGAGTCAATGTTGCATTCAGTTAAGTCCCCAAACACTGTTAAACAGAAAGTTTTAAAAGGCACCTTACTTCATTGTTTACTTTATCTGCATCTCTCTGTGGAGTACAATCTTCAAGTTTACAGCAACTCTTGGGAAATCCTTTTTCTGAGTAATAATTAGTATCTGTCCAATCTCTATAATCGGTGACACCACAACAATGCAACTGAAAAACCCAACAAAAGCATTTAAGTTTGTATTACAACTTTGTAAGCAAACATTTAACCTAATATCCTCTATTGCAATTTGTGAACATTTACTATACTCAATGATCTCTCTGCTGAATTGATTCAAGGGCTCAGCACTGGGTCCTTGATTACCACCATGCATGACAGTTTTGTACTGGCCTTACTTCCCTGTTGTAGTTGGTACTAACAGTACTTGGACTATGATATAAGTGGGGAGGGAAGAGAACAGGTGCACATGTGAGGAAAATGGAACGGAAAATGTCACTTCTTTCCTCTACAAGTGGATAACATCTAGTACCAGGCTCTACTCTTTTCTCTGAGGCAATAGGGAATGTGTTCTCCTCTAGGTGGTAGTTGCCACTTACCGTATTTTGGATCTTATCTACTGCATTGCTTCTGTAATCTCCTGTAGAGTTATACTGCTTCAAAGCCTTCTCGTAATTATTCTTAAAGCTGTTCTTAATCTATAGCAAATAAACACAATGTCAGTAAGAAAATCCTCTAGAAAGTTCTTTTGATTTCAGGTAAAAAAAGTTCTTGAATCTGACCAATGGTCATATCTTTGCCAGGAGCAACATGTATGGTAATTAACTTCCATGGTACAATCTTGTCCTCTAAGGGATATGGGTTCACTGAGGGGACTACTAAGCAAAACATTAAAATATATGATGAGAACCACTACATGTTCAAAGTGCTGTGGGAATATGTATTTATCTGTGTGGCAATGAAGTATTGCTGTATTCTGCACCCTGCTAATTTTTCTCTACTTTAAACTAAGTACAAATTCGATGCCTATGGAATTTGTAAGCTACAAAGCCTTACTTTGGGAGACTGTGCTACCCCTTTATAAGAACTCTCATTGATGAGCCTTCGTTACTCACCAAATGATATTTGAACAACCCCAAGTTTACCTGATTTTTAATTCAATATTAAACTTTTGATGATTTGCATTAAGTATATCCAGTCTTTTCAAAATGCAAGGCATAAGTGAAGAAGGTTATCAATTTTGTGCTTTGAATATTTTCCTATCAGTAAAGTTATAAATTGTACTATCTCCATTTTAATAGGTATTTACACACAGAAAAATGACAGGGAATACAAGTAAGTAATTTTCTTCTGGTGACTGTCAGTCTTTACAATTTTCTAAATTATTTGGTAGGCTAAGGCGGGCAGATCACCTGAGGTCAGGAGTTCAAGATCAGCCTCACTAACATGGTGAAACCCCATCACTACCAAAAATACAAAAAAATTAGCAGAGCATGGTGTCGGGCACCTATAAACCCAGCTCCTCGTGAGGCTGAGGCAGGAGAATTGCTTGAACCCGGGAAGCGGAGGTTGCAGGGAGCCGAGATCCCACCATTGCACTCCAGCCTGGGCAACAAGAGCAAAACTCCGTCTCAAAAAAAAAAAAAGAAATCCTAAATTTTATTTTAAATTAGAAGTGGGCCAGAATTTTTATAAGAAGGCCATTATTATCAGCTATAGGTTTAGGTACAGAGGTCTAACTCTTCTACTTAAACAAATCCATTTTTATCTCTTGGAGGATAAATTCAACATGCTAAGCTTCCCTAATTCAGGCTTACCTCATGTCTGAAAACAAATCCTACGATGGCAGCGACCAGTTCGACCAAAAAAATGAGAGTCAGAAACATTGCATACTGCAGGATAAGAAAGAAAGGCCAAGTCAGCATAAATAAGATACAGCACAGCTGCAAAGGAAGTCAAAGAAAAAATAATGGTAGTCTTCTCAATTACTTCATCTTGTTTTCATTGAAAAGGGCAGGGAAAATAGTAACATGACTATTTTGAAAGTGGAAACTGGCCACTGAACTGTTACTTGGTCAGTTTTCATAGGGAACAGGAAAAATTGTAAAGGGCCATGACCAATTTCAAGAAAGGAATCCTACAACATACAAAACTTTTCTAAAACGAAGAATTAATTCTAATGAAAACAAGGACTCACCAATTTTAGCATCCATGCAGAAACTCGGCAGGTAGCAAAACAACCAAACGTGCCCAAAAGAATAATGACGGTACCAGTACCAATGAGCACGAAGGGGACGTTGGTGGCCTTCTCATTTAAAAGAGAAAAGTAATTCTCCAGGCTCACCTTGCCCCAAATGCCAACTGCAAGAAGGATAACGCCAGTGATCTATGTGGGAAATTAGAAAACAGAAACAGTTATGCACTGTGTATAGCAGCATCTTCAAATCACAAAGCATGAGGTTATATTTAAGGCATAATAGGTGTGATATGCTGGAACATGGCAGACAAGGGGGGAGAGTAGAAGGGGTTAGGAGGGATCTGCACACAAGAGTAGGCTGAGGACAAGGTATCCTTTCAAAATTCTTAGAATTCATCTTTTTGTGTGTAAACACAAGCCCATGGCATATTTGCCCTACAGATCAAAACTTCCTTAATTGTCTTACTCCAGCCTTAGGAAGAAAACCTTGAAGAGAGGGAAAAAAAAGTGCTTTTATGAGTTCCAGAAACCTTCCCCGTCCTCTCCAGTTAGGGATGAGCACAGGGTACAAAGCAATGGTACACAAAAGCAAGCCCAAGGACAGACTGGCGGGAGTGGAGGCATACCATACTTACCTGCGAAACACTCCTCTCTTATGAAGCAGTGAAAAGAAAGACACTATTATGCAAGTGTGCTCTCAAAGGGGCCGGGCAAGGCTTGCTTGCCTCTGTTAAAGGTCCAGGGTCACCGTCTGCGTGCTATAGGGGCTTAACGCCCCAGCTCGCCTCCTGCATCGAATTCGAACGCTGGCACGTCTGGGTCCCAGCTCAGCCTGTCGGCTGCCTTCGTCCCACACTCCGACCCCAGCGCCGGCGAGATGCCTGAGCATTTAGCTCGGGGCCCAGTCCCTAGTCGCAGGCGTTGGGGTCCCAGGCACGATGGCCGCCCAAACCCCACCCCATCCCGACCTGAACTCCCGCCGTTCAGGGTCACACCCCCCAACACACAGAAAAGCCCGGGATCCCCTGCCGGCCCCAGGCGCCTCAGTCTCTCACCCAGAAAATGAAAGTGTAGATTAGTAGGACGCTCTTGAAACAAGTAATGACTGGTTTAGTCTGCAGTCTCCGAGACGGGGACGCCATGGCCAGCCCGAGACCCTGCACCACCGCACTGGGCTATGAGAACACAGGGAGCGAGACGCGGAATCCCCGAGTCTCCCCGGAAACTGCCGAAAACTTACGAGCGTCCACAACTAAGAAGGGCCGGAAACACTGTACAATTTTCTAGAGGGTAAAGTCCGGGAGGCTGTCCGGAAAGTGGCGACAATTTCCTAGCGCCCCCTGCCGAAGGTTACCGAAAACTATATACAAAGGTTCTAGTGTCGGAAATTTCATAGGTCTTTAAGTGGAGCTTTCTTCATTACTTTTTTTTTTTTTTTCCCTAAGCTAAGGAATTTTTCCCACCCCCCACCCCTCCCCTCCCCTTATAACTTCACCACATGGTTTCTATCACCAGCAGAGCCCGCAGCGCTCTGCGACTGGGCTTCCCTGGCCCCTGGTGCCCTAGAGAGAAGGAAAAGAATGAAGAGGTTAAAAGTGACCTAAGAAAATACATGGGAAAATACCCACAAGAAATACATTTGCAAAAAGAAAGCGGATTGCAAAGCAATACATACAATCACATATGCTTAGACAAAAACTGAAAGGAACAGTGAAATTTACCTCTGGTGGAATTAGACTGATTTTTTTTTTCACTTGTCTGCTTTTCAATTTGTGAACATTGTTTTATGGGGTGGGGAGGGGAGATATGAACGAATTGAGGAAAATAGTCACCACCTGTTGAAGGAATTTCTAAGGTAGGTATTAAAGATGATAATGACTTTTAGAATTTTCCTGAAGGACTTTGCAAAACCCCAGTATTCCTCTACTCTTTTATCTCCTAAGTAATTTGGAAAGTTGAGGAAAAGTATTTTAACATAATAGTGAAATGTAAGTTCAGCTATTCGCTGCAAACTTTTAAAAAGGGTGCTATTGAAAATGCCTGGTGAGTGTGACCTCTAAAATGTTAAAACGGAGAGTCACTATATATTCCAGCCACCTGTTTTTTCCCATCAAAACCCGGCTGATCACAGAGAGGTTAAAACCTAATGTTATATATTGTGAACATATTGGTCTATGTTGTTACAGCACAGAAGGTGTGTTAAGGTCTGATTTCTCAACTAAAGTGTCAGCTCTTTGAAGGCAGAGACTGAGTGTTAACTGAGTATGTGTTATCTCTAGAAGAATGGGGTTAGAAGGCTATATCAGTTCCCTATGCAACCCAACCCTTCGTCATTGACACAAACTTGACACAAGTGGCTATTTACTCTGTTGCCATTGCAAAAAGACGTGCATTTGTGGAGGAGAGAGGAATACTCAAACTTTTCTGCTTGAAACATTGCTTTAAACATACACCTCAGGACCAGAACACAGGAAAGTTCCATTGACTTGGTCATACAGAGCTTCCCTGTGCTTCAAATATTGACCTAGGACCAGTTCCTATAACATCTCGCCAGACGTCTGAGGTGCAAGACAGCAACTATTGGAAAATGAATTATTGCACTGCCAGGTTTTATACTAAAATTTTTTACCAAAATTTGAAAGACCTAATACACAAATACATGTAGAGAATAGATAAACGATACATCTATATAGAACTACAAACAGTTTGAAATCATCAGGAAATAGCAGATATTCAACATTTAAAGTACCACATAAGCTATAGTTACATGATGTGAGGTGGAGAGGGGTATCTAAGTATATGCAAAGATTTCTCCCTAGGCTAAATGACCCCAACTGAGGGGTTCATATACTAAAAACAATGATCAAGGAAATTCTTGCTAACTACTTGTCATCTTAAAAAGAGGTTTCTCTGAAATTTAGATTTGTACTGTGTCCTGCAAGGGATTTACAATGTGAGCCCAAGAGCAAAGAAATATATCTGTAGCTGAAGGAAAAATAAAATAGCAAAGCAAAAGCCACATCTTATTTCCAAGAATGTGTTGACTTTCCTCCTCACCCTTCCTCTGCCACTCACAACGCTGCTTTGTTTGAACAACACTCGGTGCCAAATTCAACCAAATGCTGACATGGAAATTCGTATTTCTATGGCCACAACACCTTGCACCATTGCCTCCTACTCTGGTACACTCACTTCCACCTCCCCACCCCCACCATGCCACCAAACCCAGAAATTAAACTTAGTTCAAACCTAGGCCTGGGTCTGTGTACAAACCCAGACCAAAGGGGCATCTAATCCCATTTAAGGCAATTTAAGAAGTGTCTCCCTAGGCCATTAGATAAATGTATTCTTTAAAGTGTTAATAATGACTGTGATAATGAGCACTGACTATGTACCAACCACTATTGCTAAGAGCTTAATACACGTTACCTCATATGCACGCATCACAAAGACCCTATTATGAGGTTGACACACCTAGCATCTTCATTTTACAGATGAAGAAACAGGTTGAAAGAGGCCAAGTAAGGTGCCTAGGACTAAACCTGGGCAACTTCTGTGTCCTTCATCAGAAATGGGGCCCACTTTCTGATGAGACATAGCTGCTGTTGTACACACAGCTGTCTCGGCCCAGAGTAATCCAAGTAAAGACTGCGGTTGCACAGACATTTAACCACAAACATTGGCTCCTTGGAGCCCCTGAAGCTTAAGAACCTCAATGATTGCCACAGTTCTGCCTTACACTTGGGTTTTTGGGTTGAGTTTGACTTTTGCCTTCACTCCAATAGCCCAGTCACTTAGGAAGTAACCCCATCTGCCCCAGAGTGATGAGGTAGAGAGTTCAGTACTTTTTTTGGTTCAATCTCTTAATTTCTCCCTCTTTCTGAGCACAGAAACACAATATGATGCCAACAATGTAAGGAAAAACGAAAATACTTTAAGTGTTGTTCTGCTTGTTTTACATTGAACATTGAGTAGTCTCCCTTCCCAATTAACTTCCTGCAACCCTCAAGATTAGGTGTAAATGTTTTTCATTGCCAGACATCAGGCAAGGGAAATGACATAAACAAGGGCTCACTGTTAAATCAGACCTCCCCTGTGCCACCTCCAACCTCCCCCCATACCTGCCAATCTCCTTATCCCAATACAATCCCAACTGATTTCCTACTGCTTTTCCAACGTGAATTTTCTGCTCCATACCAAGTTCAGCATGATCATCCCCCCAATAAACAAGTCCTATTCCCTAGTCCCTGCCCACCCTCAACTTCACTCAAAATTTCTGCTTCTACTGAATATCCAGCTCAATCCCAACTCAGTAAAAACGTCCCTCCTCCCTCACCTCTTTAACACCATAACTGTCTTAACTACACACTCACTTCCATTAAGTCAGACCTTTAGTCAATTCCTGCAGTATCTGTTTTGCATTTCTACTTACCTATTCTACATCCTACCGTCTAGATGTTCAGAAACTACTGAAGAGCTAGTGTGACAGGGCTGCTACAACCCCCTTTTATACTCTCCTCAGTACCCTAGGACATAATGCCCAACTGATGAGTTCATTTGCTGCTTGGCCAATCCCTGTTAAGCTGATTGCTCAATGAGATCATAATTGGTTTCTGGGGGTAACCACATAGTAGTTATTCAGGATTGGTTGCTGAAATTAAATAAAAAATTAAATGTCTAAGCCATCCCAGTATCATACTATCATAAAACAGAAAACATTAAATTGAGCACCCAGATAATGTCTTGGGACATTCCTACTCTCTCTTAGGAACCACTAATAAATAAATAAACTGTATCACTCAGAATACATCTTATCTCTTATAACTTTACCATTTTCATTTTCTAATCCCTTTTCTAGCATCCCTTCAATTACCTTTGGCTAAGTGCCTATCATAGAATTTAAAGGCACATCCTACTTATTTTTTTAACATCTCACATTTTGTATTACAGCCATCAGATACCTCACTATTTAAATAGTTAATTCATATGTATAGTTTTAAAAATCAATTTCCTTAATAGACTGTCTCTTTATTCCTGTTGTCTCTTGTGCATTCCCATTCTCCTTTTCTGAAATCCTATTTTGTCTATTTTTATTCATTTTTTTCCATCCACTCCTTTCAGATGCTCTGTGAATCCTTTCCCTCCCTTTACTTATCTCTGACTCCAACTAGACTATGAGTGCTTAGAGGGCAAGAATCCTCTTTCCTTCTTCAAAAAAGCTCATAATATACAGTTTGGGACACATAGACATGAGAAATATTTTTAAATGGTATTAAAATTTACAATTCTATGTCCGTTTTCTAAGAAAGTTGTTTCTAGTCTAGCCTTATTGAGCTTTGCTGAGATCTCAACTAGGGGAGTCAGTTTCCATATCTAATATTTCTTAAAACAATACCTTACTGACTGCTGAGGGGCTTCATATTAAAAATCTTAAAGTTGAAAACGGTACTGAGCTTTAAGAAACAAGAAATTGAGTATGCCTGGATGCTGTCAGTCTCCTTATCTACCTTGGTCTTATCTTCCCCACCAAACCATAGGGAGAGGTGTTTTATTTCACTTTGTATCCTCACAGTGTCTAACATTGTGTTTTACACACTGAGTACGTGCTGCAGAAATGTTAGGGTTGTTATAATTAACCTCACTTGTTTTGGGTGAGCTCTTGGACATATCCCCTTACTTTGATCTCCCTATGATTTCCATATTCTCCCCCTTCACTTTCTTCTTTAACCTCTCTCTGCAACCTCTCTGTCCCACTCCTTCCAGTTTTCAGTGGGATTGAAGCCTTTTGCAGCATCTTCACCCTGGCATGTGCTAGGCTTTGTGTTGGATGGCTGGGGATATGAAGAAAACTAGGATAAGGTTCTTGCCCTCTAAGTACTCATAGTCTAGTAGGAGTCAGACATAAGTAAAGAACAACGCCAATAAGTGTGAGAAATCCTAAAATTGAGATGTATACCAAGTGCTATGAGAGAAAAGGAAGGCAAAGTTAACCATCTTGGGCTAGGATGGGCTGGGGGAATCTTCTCAGCAGCAAGGATGGATAGTTTTGACAAGTCAAAAAAGGAGGGAAGGGACTACAGAGCAGAGTGAACATGTCTGTGCAGAAGGACCAAAATGCGAAAGGAAGAAGAAGCTCAAGGAAGAGCAAGAGGCTGAGTGTGTCCGGAATGAGGAGGCATGGGGTAAGTGTTTAAAACTAGGCTAAGGACATAGGTGGGGCTTGCTTGTGAAGAACCTGGTATGCAGTGCTAAGGAGTTCAGACTGTACTCTATGCCAAGAGGGAGCCAGTGAGGGGGTTTTTAAGAAAGAAAAAACTACGGTAGAATGTATTACTTTGCTTGTTCCCTGACTCTCATATTCCCCTCTCTCTCTCTCTCTCTCTCTCTCTCTCTCTCTCTCTCACAAACACACACACACACTCTCTCTCTCACACACACACAGAGACAGACACACACATTTAATATATTCACTATTTTCTCACACGAGTTTAAAATAAACTCCTATATCTTATTTTCTGGCCCTGCCCTATTTATTCAACTTTGTTTCCTATCTCCCCCTGAAACCTCTTAGCACTCAGCCACTCCCTGTCTGACCTAACAGTGAGCTCTTGTTGATGACATTTCCTTTGCCTGAGACTAGGCCAAAGCCCACCTCTTCCCAGGTGCCCCCTGTCCTCTGACCTCCTCCTAGAGTCCTTAAAGTCTGTAACAGACTTGTGGCAGTTTATTAGCATAGGAAGTTGTATTGTTTTCTAATTAATGGTGTCCGTCTTTTCTCCCCCTACTAAACATAAACTCTGTGGGAGCTGTAAAGTAAGGTCCATAAGATCAACAATCGCACATTACTTGCTCACTACTCTATCTGAAGTGCTTAGGTTATAGTAGATGACCAATAAAGATTCCCTAAACACACACAATTGTAATTAAGAACATGCTTGTTTCCTGTCTGTTTCTTCCATTCCATGAGAGCAGGGATTTTTGTCTGTGTGTTCACTGATGTTTCTCAAATATGTAGAACCATGTGTGGCACATAGCAAATGCTCAACAAGTATTTGTTGAATTAATTATGGATTACAATGCCATGGATTTTGTCTATCTTGTTCACCACTACATCCACCACTCTTGACATGGTAGATGCTTGATAAATTTATGGAATGAATAAGGACACCATCATGTCTTCTTTACATAGCTATTACACTGTTAAGCACATGATGGATACTCAACACATATTTGTCACAGGTGGATTGGAAATGAAGCAGACTCAGGCTTGCTTTTGAACTTTGTATTCTCATAAGTACAATTCTTCCCCTGATGACTGAGAAGGGGTTACCAATTTGCTTGCATACACAGGAGAAACAACATTTCTATAACAGCTTAAAATTTTTCCTTCTATAACCACTGATTTTCCTAGAGGTGGAAATGTCAACAGTGAGGGGAGGGAGATTGTAAGTAGCTGGTCTGTACTATGGCAGAATAGTCTCATTATCAGATCTAAAATGAAAAAAAAAGCTTGCTGAGTGAAATGTAGCCCTACATCAGAGACCACTGGGAAACAGCTAGATTTGCTCAAACAGCCTCCCACTAAAGCCTCTCCAGGCATGCTTTCCCTTCATTGTTAGTATGGGAAATCAGTCTTGATTCTCCAGGCAAGAAACACATGATTTTTTTGTAAACAATATAATATTTTTTTTTGTCTTTTTTTTTTTGAGACAGAGTCTCTGTCGCCCAGGCTTGAGTGCAGTGGCACGATCTCGGCTCACTGCAACCTCTGCCTCTCAGGTTCAAGCGATCCTCCTGCCTCAGACTTCTGAGTAGCTGGGACCATAGGCGCACACCACCACGCCCGGCTAATTTTTTGTATTTTAGTAGAGACAGGGTTTCACCATGTTAGCCAGGATGGTCTCGATCTCCTGACCTCGTGATCCACCCGCCACGGCCTCCCAAAGTGCTAGGATTACAGGCGTGAGCCACTGTACCAGGCCAACAATATAATCTTAAAAGAAACTGAAGTCCAGAGAAGTGGCATGAGGTGAAACTGTATCTGACCCTGTACCATATAGATTGCAAGATAGGTCAGAGTTGGGAGTTTAAGGAATTACAGGCGAAATTTTAGGGAATGTCAAAGTCAGCTACAGTCTTCCCCTCTCTTTGGTGTTTGTGAAATTCCTTTTCATTCAATCCTGATGTCATGCTGAGTCATAAAAAGAAGTGTTCTTCAGTGCAACATATCTCTGGAGGCTGCTTAAGCCAGCCTCTGTGTTAGTCATCACTATACTCACAGGCTTACAGCCAGTGCCATCCCATTTCCCCCTGTTCTACAGCAGACGGACTGAATGAGTTCCTCTAATCCCTGTGTTCCTTATCCCCCATCTCTCTAAAACCCTTCTCTGAAAGAAGAATAACTATAGCTGCGGGGATAATATAGCTTTAAGGAAACTTTTGGCAGATGTGGACGTCGTAACATCTGGGCAGTGTTAACAGAATCCCGGAGGCCGGGACAGACCAGGAGCCACTCGTTCTAGGAATGTTAAAGTAGAAGGTTTTTTCCAACTGATGAGAGGCACAGAGAGGAAAGAAAAAGAGGAGGAGAGAGAAAAAAGGCACAAAATACCATAAAACAGGTAAGATCTGCGACTAACCCCTCCACACTCCACTACCCCAGTTCACAATTGTGAAGGGGATAAGGAGATCCAGGACTTGGGCAACATGGCTGGGGGTGGAGGTCGGCGGGGGAGAAGTTCTTTTATGAAGCTGGATCATATGCTGTTTTTCATTTGTGCTGTGATGTGACTGCAAACACATATTCCCACCACCTTCTCAGCCCACAGCAGAGGGATGTTTGACTCTGGTGAGTCAAGTATTCAGCCTGAGATTGGGGAGAAGCTGGGCAGGTAAGAGGTCACTGGTTCAGAGTATTGGGTCTGAAAAAGGAATGCCCCTGATCCAGAACAAAGGAACTGGATGGAGGCTAGATGTGGGAGAGGGGTCAGTGATTAGTTCTCTAACTGTTCATTTTCCTGGAGCTCTCTTTAGTCTCCTCTTTCTCCTCTTTTTGTTGCCTCTTTTTGCTTTGATCCATCTCTTTCCTTCAGCTCTGTCAGATTTTCTTTCCTTCCTAGCTTCCTTCCCACATCTTTCTACTTCCCTTGCCTCCTTCGCTTACTCTCACTTTTTTTCCATCCTGCTTCCCTGTCACTTTCTAGACAAAATCTAAAGCCAAGTAGCAATTAATTAGAAAATGATTTTTTCCCTTTCTTGGGCTTTGCATGTCCCTTAGGGACTCTGGCCAGAATCTACCACCTTTTTTTCCCTCTATTTCTAGGACTGACTCCTCCCCTGAGCATGGCATTTCATTGAAAGCATGTAAGTGAATGTGTGCTTGCTGAAATGGCCAGTGGCCGGTTTATACCAATGGGCAGCAAGTTTTAATAGTGTCATTTATAAATTATTTGCCCACTGGGAACCACAAAACCCTCATCCCATTAGAGTAAGGACAGGGTATGAAGTGAGAGGGCAATTAGAGCTTATTCACCCTCTCCTCATGTACCTTAGTAGGTGCTCCTCTACCTCGCTGACTTCCCGATGGCTCAGCAGGGTAAAACTAGAGGGTTAGGCTGAACTTGAAAGCCAGAAGCCACTACCAAACCACTAAACCTTAAAACCCAAAGCTAAGAACACAGTCAAAGTATAGTCACTGCCTGGGAGACTAGAGAAGGGAAACATTCAGTCCTGTCCAATACAAATTTGGTAATAATATTGTCTAATATATAAATTACTTCCCTATATGACAGGCAATAATCAATTCTATGAGGTAGACAGTATTATTATTCCCATTCTATAGATGAGGAAACAGAGGCTCAGATAAATTAAGAAATTTGTCCAAGACCCCATAGCTAATAGGTGACAGAATTGAATTCACATCCAGACCTGTGTAACTTCAGTGTTCAAATTCTTAGACCATATGTGCTAACGCTTTCCCAGATAAGTGGCTAGGAAATGTTAGTTGAATGAACGAAACCTAATGATAGCCTTTAGACCACGTACCCTCCTGGTTCTATTTGACTTTATGTTGGCCTTTTCCTTTCTCAATGTTCCTCTCTATAACTTGGACCATAAAGCATTTGCATCTGATCCCACCAGGGTTAATTGAAGATTGGTTGTTTTATGTCCTCCTCCTCCTGGGAGGAAAAGGGACCATAAATAACAAAGAGAGTCTTGTTATTCAATGACGTGAAAGATCCTTATGAGGGAGATAATATAAAAGGCATTCATTAATTATAAAATCTTTCTTCTTCCTCACAGATCCCATATTTCTGCTTCCCCTCACTTTTGGAAGCTAACTGATGGCTGACTTCTGAAAGTCACTTTCCTTTGCCCTGGTACTTCAGGCCATACACATCTTTTTTTGTCTCCATAATCCTCCCTTTCAAGGATGGCCAGTCAACTAACTCAAAGAGGAGCTCTCTCTCTGCTGCTCTTCCTAACTCCGGCAGTGACACCAACATGGTATGCAGGTAAGTTCTAGGAGCTGTTGTCTATCATTTCCAGGAAGGGTAGGTCCTAGACCAAGACTTGGAGAAGGAAGAGTTAGATCACAAAAAGAGACTCTTATTTTTTATACAGAGAAGCATTAAAGGACAAAAAAGGTAGTTAAACTTTGCAATAGACTACCAAGGGAGGCTTTTAAGGCAGGCTAACAAGAGCTGTCTGAAATAGGCCACACTAGTACAGACGTGGGGAGGTTGGACAACATCACCGTTGAGGCCATTGTCACACCTGTTTGTGCACTTAGCTTCCCGAAAACCATTTTCTAATATGAAATCCTTTATGAGTCAAATCGTTATTAATATTAATTCTTTTATGAGTGAAATACCCTTGTCAAGACCACAAAAATGGACTTAGACCACATATCTCATCTGGAAAAAATAAGGGGGGCAGACAATCTATTCAAGTGAAACAAACATCCATCAGACTTCTTCCCTCCCTCCCTTCCTGACCTTATTTATAAAATGAGATTTTTATAGCCCTTTTCTGCCAAAGCTGTTAATGGCAAAACAGATCACATCCTTTTAATCAGGAATTTCCCAGTTTCTTCTCATTTGTTCTTTACTTCAGAAGGGATGGGGATTTCTGGATTCCTGAACATTTCACTCTTCACCCAGGGAGCCAAAGAGAACAAACTCAGTGAGAAGAGGGAAAGGGGAGGGGGAAGGGATGAGGGCAGGATAATGAAGTGGCATACAGAAGTTTTATATGGGGCCCAGCTGGCATTCCAAGTCCTAAGAATATTCTGTGGCCTGCAGTGTCTGCCCTCACAGGGGCCGGTGGGGAGGAGTGCGGGAAGGAGACAGGCCCAACCAATGGGGTTAGGAAAATATCCAGAGATGAGTAAATAACAAACTGCTCCCATCAGAGCCACACAGTCATTGCAGCTAAAATTTTCCACATGCCCTTAGCTCCTGGTGGAGGCCTTTGGCAGTAGCTCTGTTTGTCTGGAACAGCTGCATCAAGCTTTAAAACAAATATGCAAACTTCTTCCCCTTTTTGGCTTAACCTGGCTTTGTAGGGGGTGAAGCACAAGGCCTGACATTGAGATGAAAAAATTCAAGTCAAGCCCTTGGCAGAGCATATCCTGTTTGGAGTTAAAGACACCCCAAGTCTCCAGGAAATAAATATGCAACTGTCCTCCCCAACCTCCACTAGCTTCAGTTGAAGTACAGAGACCAAAATGCAGCCAAAGACCACAGGACTAAAGGAGTGGAGATTAGATGGCTTGAAGCCCAATTCTGAACACCTGTATGAAACCTCATGGCATGCAATGGTCTTTACCTTTCCCAAAACAGAAGCCTGAGCTGTTGGAGTCCTGAGGACAAAGCAGTGTTTTAAAACTTAGATTCAGTTGAGGTTCTCAAAGGGCTATTTGCAAAAGTGGAACTCCCCACTTCCACGTGAATCACGAGTCACCAATCCTGAGGAGCTCAGGTTGGTGAGGTCTCTGCCAGCCCTACAATCCCTCTCATTCTTCCCTCTTCTATGCTTAGGAGGCCACATAATGAGAGACATTTCCCCTACATTGCTAGCTCAGCTGTTGGGCTTGCCTTCATGCATTTGCTCATTCATTCCTCCAACAAATATTTATTGAACACTCTTTATGCATCTAGGACTGTTTTGTTCACTTCTACAGCCTTGTCTTCAAATGGGCATGGCACAGGAAAGCAGTCAAATGTGGATCCAGAACTGATCAGAAAAAGGGTCCCGGAATAATCAGCAGGTGTTGGGAAAGGATAAGAATATAAATGAGGCCAGGCCTGGTTGCTCAGGCCTGTAATTCCTGCACTTGGGAAGTCCAAGGCAGGCGGATCACAAGGTCAAGAGATGGAGTCCAGTCTGGCCAACATGGTGAAACCCTGTCTCTACTAAATATGCAAAAATTAGCCAGGCGTGGTGGCACATGCCTGTGTCCTAGCTACTCAGCAAGCTGAGGCAAAAGAATTGCTTGAACCTGGGAGGCTAAGGTTGCAGCGAGCCGAGATTGTGCTACTGCACTCCAGTCTGGTGACAGAGTAAGACTCTGTCTCAAAAAATAAAAACACAAAAATAAGACTATAAATGAAGTAAAGAATGGGTTAAAAGTGTGTTTGGCATATATGTGCAGCCCAGAAAGTCAGACTGTATTTGTCATCATAAGCCAAGGATTAATATGAATCTTAAAATAGTCTTTTAACTATCAATTATATTTCTAACTATACTTTTGTGAAGGGCAATGCTTAGTGGGCCTGACTGTGCTGTAGAGGTTGGAAGAACCCAGTAAAAGACCACACAGTAACCAAGCGCTGACTGATCTAAAGGAACTGAGGAATGATCCCCAAGTCCTTCCACCAGGGCTGAAGAGAGACAGGCAGACAGAATAATTTAGGGAGTGTTCACCTTTAATTTCATTCTTATACCCATCTTAGTATTCCACCATTTGCAAAAAAGAAAAAATACTCAGAGATAGGCAAAGAGGGGAAATGGGAAAATGGAAAGGTTTAAAGTGGCAAGGTGGTCTGAACCCTTTCTCCAACAAAGCATAGTTGGCACTGGTCCAGCTACTTCCACATCCTGATGGAGGCTGTAATTATCTTATTGAGTCTTCCCCACAGTTTTCCTACATCCTCCGTAATTTTGGCATGATGTAAAATGCTGGGTGGTCTTCAAACCACCACCCCCCCGTCCCCACACACAAAGTAAAAAAGCTGTATTGCAAAAAAAATTTTGGACTTTTACCCCAGTTGGACATTGTCAAAAGCTCTCCCCTAAACACAATCTTCAGTGGAGTGTCTGAGTTTGGTATCTAGCAGGTCAAGCAGACCTGGGCTGGAATGCCCACTCTGCTACTTACTACCTGGGAGACCTTGGATAACTCCCTTGGTTCCTCAAGCCTGTTTCTTCAGCTTTATATTTGAAAACATTAGCAAAGCCTATCCTGCCGACATGTTATGGTGACATAATGAGCTAATATATGTAATGTGCTTAACATAGAAGATGAGCGGAGTGACGGTAGCTGTCATTGTCTTGGTTGTTGTTGCTACTACTGTTATCTAGCCGCAGGGCTCTGACACTCCTGTTTTCTCTTCTGGTAAACAGTCCTTTGCCCCCTGCTGAGCATTTCCTCACAAGCTGCATTCTGTAACCGGAGCAGAGAGACCTAATACTTTAGGGAATCACACACATCTGGCCTCCTGTTTGCAGGACCTATAAGGCTTTGAGGCTAATACTGAACTGAAACAGCTGACGAGAATTCCATGACCTCCCCCCACCCCCGCTCCTCCCCCCACCCCCGCTCCTCCCCCACGCCCACCAAAGAAACTTCCATTAGGGGAAAAGAGAGAGCAAGGGAGATGAGGCCTGAGGAGAAATAAATCAGTTAGATTGGAAGCCAGAAGAACTGAAACTGGAAAACAGAAAAAAAGAAAAAGGGAAAAAAGAAAAAATGAACTCTTTCCTCTGGAATGAGGGCAAACCAACGAGGACATGATTTCATAAGGCAAACTTTCAATTGATTCATTCCCTTGTTCACCAAGTTGGACTGGTTTACTAATACCTCACCTCCCCCACCCCCAGTCTGAGCTTGTGGGGAATGGAGGAGATTCGTCATCTAGCTTTTTGCTCCACCCTTTAGTGCAGGGGGCCCTGTGCCTCTTCCCAAGAGGAGGCAGGTGAGCTTGTGGCCTGAGTGTTTATATGGGCCAAAGGGCTTAGCACTAAAACCCAGCCCTGTCCTGGAAGCACACCCTCTCCTGGAAATGGGGAACTGTCCTCTTGACTCCAACACAGCTGGCTACCCTATTCTTGTTCGTGCATGAGGTCTCAGGGAGGCTGGAAGGAGGGCTTCCGGAAACTTCACTCCGGAAAGGACCAAGTTGTTTTCTAATTAGTTCGTATTCATGACCGATTTCCTGCCGTCTGGTGGAACATACTATTTAGTCTCCCAGACAGCCGCAGACCTGCCTTCATTATGGACTGGGCCACTTAAGTGGATGGAGGTAGATTAGGAATGTTCTCTAGCTCAGCAGCTCCCTGTTGAAGTTTCTTCTGATTAGGGAAACAGGAAATTTATCCAAAGGACTTTGCCTGCCTTCTCTGTTCTCCAAACCAGGACATGTGCTCACAAAACTGCTCTCATTTCCTCTTGCCTTTAAGTCATTCCTCTCGGCCTTGGCATGCCACCCCCAGCAATAGTAATTTGATGGCAAAAAGATGTGTGCCCTGTGGGCTGGTGGAAGCCTGAGTAATTGTTTCTCTTTGAGGGCTGTGAGCAGGCCTGTCACTAGGGGAAAGACACAGGTTCTGTTTTTTTCCTCCTATCTGGGACCACAGTCCATTCTCAGAGCTTAGTCCCTAGTGTCTTACCAAGACTCATGTGTTGCTTCAAGGAAATGGGTCATTTATAGTCCAGATTTACAGGATTGATGTATGGTCAGGTTCAATTTTTTTTCTTTTAGGTGGAGTCCGTTAGTGCTCCCAGTAACTGGCCCCCACAACCAGGAGCCTGCCCTCTATGCAACTGAGGTGCTGAGATTCACCTGCAATAGTTCTGCTGCCTTACAATGCAGGGTTTGTCCCACTAAATATCCACCTGGCTCCCCACCCATGGAGTGCCATGTCCTAAAGAAGTGACAGAGTTGGATGAGAGGGGAAACTTGGGAAGGACTTGAGTGAGAAATCAAGACACCATCTTGATATTGTCTTCCTTATTCTAGGTTCTGGCTACTATCCAGATGAAAGCTACAACGAAGTATATGCAGAGGAGATCCCACGGGCCCCTGCCTTAGACTACCGAGGTAATGTACCCTGCTTCTCAAGCCCAGAAAAGTTCTTTTCTGGCCTCAGACCTAGGCCCTTCCCTGAAGCATCCCCTTCAGGCTTGGCTCACATGTGCCAAAACTGCAGCACAGGGAATCAGGGGCTATGATTTCTAATCATGAACTTGGTTACTGACTTACTGTGTGACCTCACCTCTCCAGCCCAAAGGTTACCCATGCATTATTAATCATTAAGTATTGACTAGTTACTCTATGCCTAATCCTGTGCAAGGTAAGCCTGTGGGTGACATGAGGTCTCAGATAGGGTTTTATCCCCATCAAGTAGCTTACGTTCTGTTGGGAGTGATGCAGGGGATATACAATTAGCACATGTAGGGTAAGTAAGTGTGAAGCTATGTCATGGCAGTAAATGCAATAGGGTTTAAGAAAAAGATGTCAGGAAAAGGGTCATGAAAGATAACATTTAGACTATGCTTATGGGTGGGATTTTGAGAATTGGAAAGGGGAGGGGAGAGCATTCAGCAAAGCAGATGGCTAAAAATATGAAAGTAAGAACAAACCTGGTAGAGGAGGGAGCTAAGAAGAAACCAGCCTGATTGCAGGAGATAAAATGTGGAGGGAGTAGTATAAAAGAAAGTTAAATATAGGCAGGTTGCAGTGGCTCATGCCTTTAAACCCAGCACTTTGGGAGGCCAAGGCAGGCAGATCACCCGAGGCCAGGAGTTTGAGACCAGCCTGGCCAACATGGTGAAACCCCATCTCTACTAAAAATACAAAAAATTAGTGGGGCATAGTGGCGCGTGCCTGTAATCCCAGTTACTCAGGTGGCTGAGGCAGGAGAATTGCTTGAACCCTGGAGGTGGAGGTTGCCGTGAGCCAAGATAGCACCACCGCACTCCAACTTGGGGAGCAGAGCAAGGCTCTGTCTCAAAAAAAAAAAAAAAGGGTTAAATATAAAGAGTGAAGCCAAATTAGGGAAGACTCCATGATCTAGGGACACTTCGAATGAGAAACAGGAAAACTATCTGTGAGAATGCTGAATACTGACTGATTCCTGCATTAAAAGGGAAGTTAGGCCAGGTGATATCTAATATCCCTTCTATTTCTGATTCTTTGTTTCTTTGCTTTGCAAGCCATGCAGAAGTTTAGCTGTTGTACTAGGAGCTATAGGGAGCCCATCACATGTTTTTGCACAGGGGCATGACACAGTAAATTGTCATTTTAGAACATTAACCTGATTATTCTATGAAGAAGTAGGGGTTCAGTGGTAAACCTGAGTCAGGGAGACTCCCCAGGAACCAGTTACAGTAATGTTGGCTAGAGATGACTGAGGGTGGTAGCAAAGAAATGTAGGGTACAGGTGAACCCCATAGATGTTTCAAAGAAAGAGATGACAAGACTTGGTACAGACTTGATGTACCAAGAGCTAAGAAACAAACATGTCTGAAAGCACTCAGACTGTACACCTCAAAGAATTGTAAGACCCCTCTCAGAAAGACAATGTTAAAAAAGAAAACTGGTTTGGTAAAGATGCTCTACAGGCAGTTGGAAGTGGAGATGAAGCTGTGTGAGTTATCAGCTTAGATAGATGGGTTGTCTGAGGGAGCAGAAGGCCAAGGTCAGAGCTTTAGAAGACATCTGTAGATGTGAGGAGGAGAAGAGGAACCAGCAAGGGAATAAAAGGGAATTCGTGGTCAGTCATGTACAAGGATATCTGGACAGTACCTGTCATATTATAGAAGTCACAGGAGAAGAGAGAATTAAGGAAAGGAAGGGGTAAGAGATCAATTGTGTCAAATATTGCAAAGAGATCAAATTGATGGTGGAGGAAAGATTTTATTTGGCAAGAAGGAGGTAATTGGTGACCTCTGAGAGAAACAGTTTCATTTGAGACATTATCAGAGCTTTGGGCTCCTCTAAGCGCCTTTGTAGCTACCTTCTACTTATGTTCTTCTCACTGCCAAAAGGTCCGTCCATACTCACTGCCTCTCTCTCTCAGCACCCAGTAACTTCTAAAATCTCTACAATCTGTTTCTCTCCCACTCACATATCTACAACCTGAAATGACATCTCTTGAAGAAAACAGTTCTCTCCCATGAGAGAACCAATTCCGATGACCTTGAGCTTGTCTCTCAGTTTCTAGCAGCAGTGAGCACCTTCCTTTCTTCTTAATCCCCCTTCCTTGGGCTCCGTGGCATCTTACAATTCTGGTTAGAGATGAAACTGGGAAAGGAGATGGATTCTCTGGTGGTGACAATAGAGAGAATGAGGCTGGGATCTGGGATCTGAACTTGGGTCAACCAGACCTGTCTCCTGAGCTGGTGGAGTATATCTCCAACTACAGCTACACACTTCCATTTGGAGATGTCTAAAACAAAAGTATTTCATCTCTCCTGAAAAACAAAAGTATTTCATTTCTACCCACTGACCTTCCTACTTCTGATAATACTACCATCATTCTCTTAGTTACTTGGACTTCAAAATACTTCAAGGTCGCCTCTAATCGGCCCTGTCACCTTTTCCTCATCACTTCCTGCTAGTCAGTCACCAAGACCTGTCATTTCTTTTTCTTTTTCTTTTTTTTTTTTTTGAGACAGAGTTTCGCTTTTGTTACCCAGGCTGG